ACCAAATACACAAAATAATGTTCTTTTTAGCAGCATCATATGACCCCTTTAAACCCGGATGATTGTAACCACTCTTAAGTTCGTCTGCCTTGGGAAAGCTAGTGTGTCTCTGACATAGTGATAACACTCATTACCAGGTCTCGTCCCATTCGTCGATCTTTGTGATATCACAAATCCCGGAAAATATGCGTTGTAGTCCAAACGAGTCGTTCGTTGTAGTTTTTGAAAAGTGATTTCTGTTAAATAAAATATCTCCTTTTGAAGTGGACTTTGAGCTTTGTAACTTCGCAGATCTTTTTTATGCTCAAACAGCAACATTACAGACTAACTAAAGTTGAAAAAGTGAAAAAGCATAATAGGACCCCTTTAAAACTCAATTCAATATTATGTGTACAACTATTTAATTGTGTCATCCTGGTATCGTGGACTCACTCTCTTGTTTCAAACAAACGCAGCAGCTGCAACGAATCAGTTTCATCTTAAATCAACATATTTTATTGCCATAATTAGTTATGTGGTGAAATGTTGTGTAATAAGTGCAATGACTCACCGTATCCCTTAAATGTCTGTCTAGTTTGAACTTGCTGTTGCTAGCAACTGCTTTCTTCACAGAAGCTTTGCATTCAAATATTTCAACTCAGATCAATGTTTCATTTCTAATTATTTAGTTTTGTGGCAGGCAGCTGAATGTACATCCAGCCCGACAGGCTTATCAGCTTCCCGACGCGAAGCCTAAATTAAATTTGTTCATTATATGAATGTAGTGAATGTGTCTCTTCAGAATATTTGGATTAAACGGCTTAATTTATATGGATTACTTTCATGATGTCTTTGTGAACTTTTTGAAGCATGAAAGTTTTGGTTTCGTGAAATTTTAATGGATGGACTAAAATGTTGAAATAATATATTAATAATTGATTCACTTGTGTTTTGAAGATGAATGAAAGTAGTATGCGTTTGCAATGACAACTCTACAAAAGATGATACAATTTTCATTTTTGAGTAAAGTTTCCTTTTGAAATGAACTTGAATTCTTCCATATGACTAAGAAAACAATGTAGGTCTCTGCCGCATGTGGAAAGAATCCGTCACACATGTCTAAGTCCAAACTAAAACGACCAACACCAGATGATCAACAGGAAATTATACGAGTGACAATTTGGAAGTCTGGATTTACAGACGCACCACACCTGACCTCCACACCCCAGGTGCTGAGACGCACAAAAATGGGTCAAGGTCAACCTTAAAATCTTGCCCTAAGGACGTCAGAACTACTCGTGTTGATCAGTAAGTTACTGTTCCTCACACAGCGGACTGGTCTGAAGCACAAAGAACACGCTGCAATGCTATTTAAAGCAGTGAGCTCACCAAACACACTTGTCATGTTTTGCAGGCCCTCTTGAAGCTTCACAGCCAGTGTTAAGAAAATGCTCTTACATTTACAGAGGAATAAAAATACAATGAAATCTGAAAATATTCCATGTTCTAAACATTTTGTAATAGTATTGCCCGAATGAATGGCTATATAAATAAAAATAGAGGAAAAATCATACAATACTCTAATGTGGAACTGTTCAGTGTTCTTGCTTAACAGATATTCAGATTTAAAAAGAAAATAAATGGCAGGAAATGAAAAAGATGGTATTCTTATAATAATAATAACGATGATGAATCTAACTGGATGCACCTGAAAGCATTTGAAGAAATTTAATATTCTGTTGGGATAAAGTCTATTGGGGAGCATTTATGTGAGAGAAGAGTTCATACTTCAACAAGTGTTCTGACGGAAACTTCTGGAGTTATTTTTTTCTTGGCACCACTGTTACAGTCTGTCAGATTTGTTACAAGAAATTCTCCTCTGATTGCTCACCGTAACCTTACACAACCTGAAAAACCTGTTCAATCTCTGCATGGCGAAACTGAGGGGTGCGTTGATCTTACACGACTGAACCAAGATGCACGGGATCTTAAATGACTTAAAAGACTATTTCTGATGAATGGGATTATTACACTCCCTCTAACAGCTGTAACTGAATCATACCGATCATTTTACGCACAACGCCGGGCATTATAATTCAAGACAGAAAAAAACACTAAGCAGTCTAATTTTGTCATGAATAGGCTGGGTTTTATGAGTTATTCGTACAGGCTTAAAGCTAATTAACCTACATAAATCACAAATACGTTGCCAATATTACATAAATTCTAAACCACTTTTCTTGACACACATTTTCACACTTTCAACTTTTTAGACCATGGTTTAAACTTCTTAAAGTTTATTCATAAACAGTGGTTTTAAATGCTTTTATGATTACATGTTATACAGCTGGCCTGTTTTTAATAACTAAAAAGAAAATTATGTATTTTAAGTAGTGCTGTCAAATGATTAATCGCGATTAATCTCATCCAAAATAAAAGTTTTTGTTTACATAATATATGTGTGTGTACTGTGTGTATTTATTATGTATATATAAAGACACACATACAGCATATATTTTGAAAATATTTACATATATTTACATGTATATATTTATATTCATATACATTATATATATATAAATATATTTAATATATAAACATAACATATTTTTCTTAAATATATGCATGCATGTGTGTGTATTTATATACAGTATACATAATAAATATACACAGTACACACACATATATTATGTAAACAAACACTTTTATTTTGGATGCGATTAATCACGATTAATCATTTGACAGCACTATTTAAGACAACATTGTTTTGGACAGCTTTGATCAAGTCATTTAGAAATGCAATAATTTTCATTTATTTACAAAGATCTGGGTACATTTTTACTTTTGATAATTCTATTACATATTATATATCAATTATGTATATTACAACCCTCTACATTGCGAGTAAATCACTCCGCATATGCGACTAAATCTTCACTCTGGGCGACTAAATGATGTCTAATATTAGCCAATGGCTAATAAATTCTCAGATTTTACTCGCCAGTGTGTGAGTTGGAGGCTAAGTATAAGTTTAGCACAGATATATTTTCACTCGCCGAACACACTGACTGAGCGCTTCAGAGTTTCACTCTCCGTCAAGCGATCTGTGCTTTTATTCAGTTCATCTCAATGGATGCGCAGCGCACCTGTATTTGACATACCGTGAACTCGTGTAACGGCGCATGACTCGCCGTCGCTTTCTCTCACACACGCAAAGTGAGAGCGAGCGAGTGAGAGAGTCTTACATAACATGCAGAATTGACGCGCTACATGTACACGATATTCTTTGTTGTATTTTCCTATCAAAACAACGCAGTTCCTTTGGAATTCTTCAGCTTTTAAAGGGGTCATATGATGCGATTAAAATTTTTCCTTTCTCTTTGAAGTTCTACAAGCTCTTGGTGCATAAAGAAGATCTTTAACGTTGCAAAGACTAAAGTCTCAAATCCAGAGATATTCTTTATAAAAGTTAAGAGTCGACCACGCCTACCTAAAACGGCTCTTTCTAACACGCCCCCACATGTCTACGTCACGATGTGGGAAGATTTGCATAACGCCGCCCAAATGTTCACGCAAAGAAAGAAGGC